TTTTGGTCCTTCTCCGAGAAGGCTAGGTGTTTGATCTTACCTACCATAAGATTAGGATTGTGGATGAAAGACAACAGTGAGAAGGAGCCCATGAGTAGCAGTAGAAAGGCTGCAGAAAGAATCAGGAGCCCAAGGAAGGGGGGGAGGTGGGGGGGAGGGGGCAAAAAGTGAAGACGAAAGCAGACGATAGAATATTGTTAGAGAGCAGGAAAGAATGAGAAAGAGAACACTTTAGAGAAGAACATTTCCGTTGATGTCCTGATTCCAACCCGGGACCTATTGAATGAGAGGCAAACACCATAACCTCTAGACCACAAGAGCCCCAACGAAATTGTCTAAGACGGCCATTCATTGTCAAGAACAAAAGTAGCCGTCTTAGAAAGGTGGATGTCCTACAAAGTAGGGCTATTATTATAATGTTAAAAAACCCACTCAGGTAGGAATGGGAGCGGTCGTTTGTTCAAGGTGATTGCCTTATACAGGTAGCCGTTTGAGAAGGTTCGACTGATTAATTTCGTCTATTATTCTTTTTTTTAACCACAATTTTTTGAAAGAACTGTCATACACGGTCAATTTGTTTTGCCTCTGGGCGGAGGTAGGAAAGCTTGAATATAGTTCTGAAACGAATCATCTGAGTGGAACAATAATTCCATTTTCCCGGTAAACAAATACTTTTTTATATTATAGTTCCTTTGAATATCATCTCCCGGCCAAAACCCCCCCAACAAAACAACCCCCCCCCCCACAAAAAAGCAACAAAAAGCCAACCAACCAACCAAACAAACAAAACAAAGAAAAAACCCCCCACACATAAGGAGATATCCTCTCACTCTCTCTCTCTCTCTCTCTCTCTCTCTCTCTCCCTCTCTCTCTCACACACACACATACACACACACACACACACACACACACACACACACACACACACACACACACACACATCACGCACGCACACATTCTTTTTAATCCTTAAAGATCACCAAATAACCAAAATCCCAATCTGGGGCCTCGACCCCCGGACATAACTACACTGAGAGAGCATATTATTGTCATATGTTCCTACATCCGCCCTATGCATACAACTCTGGCGAGAAGGTCTCATTTGACATCACAGAAACGTGGCTAATCCCTGTCTTTTAAAAATTGAGGAGGAAAGGGGGGGGGGGGGGGCATCTCGGAGTCAGTCTTTCCCCACCCCCAACCCGAATTCATAATAATGATTGGGTCGTGGCCAGCCATATTATTTTCCTTCATGGTGGGGCAAAAAGCTACCACTTTAGGACAGTTCCACCGAATTCGACTCGCGACTTTGAAAACCAAACGCCTCTAACCAAGTCGAACGAAAATTTTAATCTGGGTGTCCCCGACTCAATCAAAAGAAATTCGATTGACAGTGTGCACTCGGCATAATTAACATTCCTTCATGTGTTACAATTACTTAAATGACAGCAAAAAAGGATAGGTATCCCGTGGGAGGGAGAATATAGCGGGGGAAAAGTGACCCGGTTAAAAAAAAAGATTTTATTTATTCATTTATTTGTATCCATTTATTTATTTATTCATTTATTTACCCCTTTATTTATTTATTAATTCATTTAATTATTTAAGTATTCATTTATTTACCCATTAATGTATTTATTAATTCATTTATTTATTTAATTATTCATTTATTTACCCATTTATTTATTTATTAATTCATTTATTTATTTAATTATTCATTTATTTTTTTACTTTTTTTTCGGGGGGTTGTCAGATAAAATCTTGAGACCGTCTGCGCCAGAGCTGTATAAGATACGTTAAGTGACAAGAGGGGAGGGAGCATGCATACTGTTGTTGTTGCTTTTGTTGTTGTTGTTCTCTTCCTCCTCCGCCGCCAGCTGCTCTTGCAGGCGGTTGAAGGTTCGAGACTGCAGGTTTGGGTTGGTGTAGCCACGGTAGTCCGGAGTGTCCCCCTTCTGCTCCTCGTACACGGCGCTCTGGGCCGGCGTCATTGGCGCAGCTGGCAGGCCGGAAGAAGAGGTGGTGGAGGAGGAGGAGGAGCTAGTAGTAGCAGGGGGAGGGGCGTACGAGCTACTGCTACTACTACTGGGTTCGCTAGGTGCTGAGGAGGCGGGGTCATCCGCGGGGGAGGAGGAGTCTGGCCCACCTGCTCCTCCCACTCCCTGTGTTCCGACAGGCTCCGGCGTGGCTGCTACG